GCCGGGCTTTGGATACGCTTCCAGGGGGACAACCTGGGCAACCGTGCCCCCCTCCGCTGCGACGGGGTCTCGACCCCATCAAGGACCTGGAGTCTTGGATCCCAAAAGCTCCCACACACGACAGAGACGCCAGCGTAAAGGGCTTGGGCGACGCCATCAGGAAGGCCAAGGCCAAATTGGAAAGCTCATTCGCAGACCGTATTGCTGCACCACTGGATGAGAAGTTCTCGTGGGAAAGGCTAGGGGCCGCCCTCTCGGACAGCATCCAGACGCTAGTCGGTGACCCGCTCATGGGCATCCTGATGTACACCATCTCTGGTCTGCACCCCCACCAGTGGCAGATGGGGGGCACGCCCAGGCAGCCTGACAGCTTTGACAGAAAGGCATGGAGCCATGTGGGCTATTGCTTTGACCCGGAGGTCGGGATCGACGCGAGCAACCTGGTGTACAACCTCACGTGGGCGGCCATCGTCTGTTTCCTCGGGCTTGGCACGCCATGGTACGACAAAAAGCTCGGGGTCGCGTGCGAGTCGCTCCCCCCCCCTACCTCACATGGTGGGCTCCAAGGAGAGAAGTCACTGCACTCCCCAGAGCACGCTCCATCAGTTTCCAGCGGCATGGAGCCCTACCACCTGCATGTGCCGCCAGCACAGGTCACACCCAGGTATGGAGAACCTGAGCGCCTTGTTCCAGCACGAGGGGATCGATGCAAAACTCACAGACATGCTGGCCAATGCGAGCGGACAGCCGCTCTCCCCACACGCGTTCAGAGTACTACTGGTGTTCATGATGCTGCAGCTACGCGAGCCCCGGGCCGCGCTATGGCCCTTCCCGAACCCCGAGGTCACTGGCGACATCTTCGAGGCCATGATGGGCCTTTGCCTCCCGTAGCAGGAAGCGCACAGAGATTTTCGCACGCAATTCGCCACGACGTGGGGTTACCAGCTGGCGGACCTCGAGAATCTCCACGCCAAGCTCGCCAATGTCATCCACCACACAGGTACCGGGCAACCTTCGCCCGCCACCACGAGATTGCCGGAAAGCACGGCTGTCCAAGAACTTGGGCCGAGATGGAGGCGCACGAATTCACGTCAGAAACTCCCCTACGCGTATTAGAGGACATCGTGCAGCCAGCCGACGTGTACCATCTACACCACGGAGAGCGTTCCATCTGCATTCTCCACACCGCACTGGCGGGGGCGGAAATCGGGCTGGGATGCCCACGTAATATGGAGGACCTACAATACATCGGGGGGGGGATTGCCATCTCCAACCACCGTCTCGACGAAGACATCCCCGCCTCACCCACCCCAGGTACTGCGCTGATTCCTCCCGTTGTGCACGACGGGCGCTTCAACAGGCTTCAGAAGGAAGCCGCGCGCTGCTGAAATCCGCGACAAAAGGGCTGATCAAAGGAAACCTCGAGGGAAAGGGGGCAGGCCAGACCGCAATCAGGAGTCTATCAAGGAGCTAACAGCCCCGGCGCACGAGACACGGCGGGCGCTCAGCCCCCGGCAGGACAGCAGCCCAGAGAGACGGCCGCGCCCACAGGCTGAGCCACTCCCACCTCTGCATCGGAACGACCCCCTAGGGGGGCTCCCCATGTACTTGAGGCCCATCGAAGAGGCCGACATCCAGAGGGACGAGACAGGCCAAGACAACGTCATGATATTGCAGAGGGAACTCGGAGGCGCTTTCAACGGGGCGTGGATAGGGTGGGCACGCAGGGCTGGTAGCCTACAGGGTCTAGCGTGGAACGACATCCACACGGACCCCAGGAGGAACACAAGGGAGAGGTGCGAAGAATTCCTGCAGGCGTGGGAAACCGCGGGCTACGACGCCTACAAGTTGGTGAAACACCACCATCTCCGTGTTGATTGGCCAAAGGTCGCTGACAAATATCGTAGCGTACTACATCGCAGCGCAAACGCCAACGCAACCAAGGGCAAGACACCAAGGGCAACCCACACCCTTGGGCCGACAGAAGGACGGTACCCACCCCCCCTGCCCCACCCGACAGGGCAAATCACCACGAGCAGACCCGGCCCTCCAGCACGTACAGTGGAGCTGCGCCGCAGCACTCATGGAGCAGACCCAGAGACGGCACAGCCGCCCCGCTGGCGCACGCCGACAGGGAGAATTCCTGGTCGGGTGCATCCAGCTCTGGGGGGCCCATGGCGCCCAAGGCCGCGATGGGAAGGGTGGGACCATCATGATAGGTCCTGGAGGGGGACTTCGTGGGGGAACAGGGAGAAGAGGACCGCCCCAAAAAGTGACGAGCAATACGCCGACAAGCGGCAGCGAGGATGGGAGCTCGCGCGCTGGTAGACCAACAAAGGGCCTGGCAGGAGTCCCCCGACTAGGGGCGACGTCGGCTCTACAAAAGACGCCATGACGTACGGCGTCAGGTCGCCGGGACAACGCGTGAACTCCCCCAGTGAAGGAATCGCCTTGCACGGTACAGTGGGACCCCCCTAGGACGCTCCCACCTCAAACGAAGCCCTGCGGCCAGGGCGCTCACCTAACCTTCCGTCACTTTCTCCAGTTCCGCGGCTATCGGCTGCACTCCCCCTTTCCTCGTCGCCACGTGCTGCCATCCGCGGCGATCGTCTGCTTGCTCCCCATCTCTTCACTCTGTCCGCGGCTATCGGCTGCTTACCCCCCCTTTCTCGTCGCCACAGGATGCAACTTCCGAAGAAGGATGAGTTGCTGTGGGCCCCTGGGCCATCGGGTCACTTCCAGGCGACCACTCGTGTCGACTGATTGCGACAGGTCTTGTTTCACCGATGCAGTGGGCCAATGGGGCGTACTGTTGTTACCTCTTGGGGCTGAGGTACCCCCCCACCACCGAGATAATTCCTACGTTCGCGTGGGCCTTTAGCCGTTCGGCCGGCTGAGATAACCCCGTCTTCGGTTTGCCGCTGCGTCGGCCCGTGTTCTTCCGAGACGGCTCGCTCAAGGCACCTCGCCCTTCCTCGGCTTTCTACATTCCTTTTGCCCGCGGCGTGCGCGGGACGGGACACACCGGGCGCTGGCCTCGGCCATGTCTGGGCCCTACTTTGGAGTCGGCAACATGCAGTGGCTCCCCCGTCGTCGGTATGGTGACGGCGGCTTCCGCCCCCCTCTTGCACATTGGCGTGGTGACAGTACGGTCATCCTTGTCGGCATTGGCAGATAAGGACGTCGGTCAGGCACCATTGGGCGCTCGTGCGAGACGTCGGCTGCAGTCACAGGAGTGCCTTCGAAATGCACAAGCCGCACACCGCCCTGGTACCAGGGTTCTCGTGGTCGCTTCCATGGTGGTCGATTTTTACCAGGCTTTGGCCCGCACTCCCCTCAGTTGCGTGCATGCTGACCGACGTCCCAAGTGAGTGAGTGTTTGGCCCTGTTCTCCTGGCAGTCCAGCTCCACCTGCGGGTCTGACTCCTTTTTTGCTCCCCTCCCCCCTCGCTGGCACACGTTCAGCGGCCGGTTAGTGGCCTTATCGCTGGCAGATGCTCAGCGTTTCTTTTGCTACTGGCACACGCTCAGCTGCTTCTAGGCCGGCTCAGTGCTGCGCCGTTAATTATCTCCTTCCCGTGCGCTGCAGTCTCAGCCTCGTTCTTACCGCCCTCTGGACTTTTCCTTGCGGGCCGCAAATCAAAAAAGTGTGTGTTTGTGTGTGTGTGTGTGTTTTTGTTTGTTTTTGTGTGCGTGTGTGTGTGTGTGTTTGCGTTCTTTTTCCCACATATGTGTGTGTGTGTGTTGTTTTGTGAGTGTTTTTCTTTTTTTTTTGTGTGTGTGTGTGTTTCCCACAGATGTGTCCCACAGACTGTGTGTTGTTTGTGATTGTTTGTATGTTTTGCTCCCACAATGTGTGCGTTTTTTTTGTGTGTGTGTGTGTGTGTGTGTGTGTCTTTGGTTGTTTTTTCCCACGAAGGGCATTGTCGATGCATCGGCGATGCGGCACGATCCTCCGACCCCATCTGCTCGGACCCGCTCGTCCCGTCTTCTGGCCATAGCACACGGCTCTCCGGCGGCCGTCCAGGACCCTCAGGTACCCCCGGAAGGCCCGTGGCGAGGCGCCGCCGATGGAAGGTATCCCGAGGCCAGAAACGCGCCGAGACCCGACGAAGGAGTCCGAAACGAGGTCCACGTGGAGAGGATCGGGCTCCGACCCCGTCCGGGAAGCCTGGGCGTTTCTCTCCTCCGACCCCGTCGGGGAAGCCTCGGCGTTTCTCTCGTCCTGCTTGGGCAGCCCAAAAAGCCTGTGGCGACCCGTGCGAGCGGCCGCGGCGTGCCGAAGGCTCGACGGCCCTTCGGCGCGCACGGCCCCGCCGCCAGGCACTTCGAATTTGGACGCCCGAAATGGGTACCGAAAAAATGGGTACAATGCCCAACAACAAGTGTTGTCCCAAACCAACAGCGGCCGCTGTTGGGCAGGCGGCCTTCTGTCTCGAATGGACACAGGCCGCGGCGGCGCGGACAGCGAATCCTGTTCAGAATGAACAGGAGCTGCTGTTGGGCATCGTACCCATTCTTTCCGTGCCCATCTCGGGCGTCCAGATCGAAGGAGCTGGCTGCAGCCCACGGGACACACCACCCGGGAGGAGCCCGAGGGCGGCCACCACTGCATGTCGGAGGGCCGCCTCGGGCGCCGGCTTCTCGGTATCCTCTCGGGGGCGGCCAAGAGGGGGGGGTGTCCAAGAGGGGGGCGTGCAGATCATGGCCCGAGGCACGTGCGCGGACCAGGGGGGGCCAGGGGAGCGTGTTGAAATGAGAAGGGGGGCCATGAAGACTGGGGGATAGGATGACCCTGGCCCTGATCTACTCCCCCCCCCCAGTCTTCCCCCCCCCCCTCTCGGCCGTTCCCGATCATGTCCGTGGCTCCTGAAGCCCTTCGAGGCCACCGGGGCGGGAGGTTCGGAGGGGCAGCTCCTGGGAGGCCTTCGTGAGGGCGGCTCCTGGCGCAGAGTCGTAGCGATGATGTAGATGATCCTCCTCCTCCTCCCCCCCCTCCCCCGCCCTCTCCCGCTCCCACCCAGATAGCCAGCTGCAAGCTGAACTCTGCCTTAGCTGGCCTGCACCCCCGCCGCAGATGCACAGCGCAAACTCCAGCACGTGCGCGCTCCGTCGTTTGGCCTCGCCCGCGCGCCACGACGCCTGGCACGGCTGGCCGAGGCCAGGGAAACAAGGGGCCTGGGCCGGACCAGCCAAGACCAATGAAGGGGCCCTAGGACACACAAATAAATACACACACGTAAAATATTCCCAAATTTTCGTTATATGTTCTGGGTTTTTGTCTTCCCCCCCACTTTCCATAGTTTCCCATATTTTCCTGGGAGTCGACGATTAATTGTGTCTGTGTGTGTTTTTTTCCCCTCCTGAACCAAGGCCGACTGAGCCGGAGCTGGATCAGGCGGAACTGAACGGGACTGTGCCGGATTGGGCCTGTCTTCGCCCAACCATTCGCCCGCGCCGATGCTGAATCGGACCTCGCAGGAGATGCAGAGGAGGCTCGCAGCATACAAGCGCCGCCGTCTCAGACAGGGCCTGCTCGAGTTCCATCGTGCAGGGCTGTCCTGACGGAGGCGGCGTGCGAACAAAAGAACCCTGAGGAGTCCCCACACGGTGCGGTGACATTCCGTGCGGTGGCCTCGGAGCCCCGAAAGACCTCACCGCACGGTCCGTCGAGGGACGGTTCTG